TTATGGATATATAATTAGACATTGTTATATTATTACAAACTATAATCACAGTATAATCAATGTTACTTAGTAATATATCAAATACAACTTCAAGTTTTTTAATTCGTAAAAGGTCAAATGGATTGCAAAAACACTACGGACTAGTTGGTCCTTACACAAATATAAATCGTTTAACTATTTTTGCTTGTGATTAAGAAAATAATTATTTTCTCTGGATCGTACAAAGTTCATTGATTTAATTTAATTGCCCTTTATCTCATATTATTAATAATTAAAGTATTTTTATATAAGGATAAGATTGAAAAATTTTATTAATTGTTTTCTCAAAACGGACTTATATTTATGGATAAAAATACTACTCTAAAACGATTTATATTTATAAAAAGGGAAATTACATAAGGATAATCTTACTTTAAATAATAATCATGAAATTGATAAAAAAATTAATAATGAAGAGGAATAAATTTCTAACTTTCCAAGTCGTTTGTGAAATATAAAAAGATGAATACACTCAATTTTAAATCAAACAGGACATTTCTTGCGTTTACACTAATAAACTTCAAAAAGTCATATACTCTGTTCCAGATTGAACAACAAAGAGAAATTATATTACTCCCATTTGAGAACTTGTTACTGCACGATTGGCTAACATAACTATCAATAAAGATAAAGAAAAAAATCGAGACTTTGACCCAAAACAAACAAAGTGAACAAAATGTGGGGATTGAAATAGAAATTAGAAAAAGAAATAAGTTTAGAAGTTTGTTAACTTTTTTTTTTTTTTTTTTTTTTTTTGGTGTGTGTGAGAAGAGTTTTTTTTTTTTTTTTTTTTTTTTTGAGAAGAAGAAGTTTGGTAGCTTTAAAATGACTGGGAAATGCTTACTTATCATCTATGTATGAATTTATCCATATACTAAATTAATTAAAAATATATTTTTGATTATAACGAGAGCATTTTTAAGTATTTATTGGAAAAAAAAAAAGAAAATAATAAAATTTAAAAAATTCTTTATTAATTGATTTGGTACATGAGATATATACAAGTGTATAGGTAAGTCTTATCTTAATTTAAATTGAAGACTCCTAATCACTACTTCCATTCCATAATACTTGTCACATTTTATAAAATAGTTTGTTCTAAAATATTTATCGCATTTGTGGTTTTAAGGAGTAATAAATCCATTTTTTCAAAATTTACCCTTTATATATGACTAATAATTATTACTTCAATTTAATAGTTTTATTAGAGAATCAGTATTAAATTAAGGATAATATATTCAATTTACTCAATAATTTATTTAAATTTAATGGTTTTCTTAAAGAACATGAAATTTCAAATGTGACAATTATTATAGAACAGATGAGGTAGCCAGGAATGTTATAATTCAAAATGCATAAATATATAAATTGACACTTAAATTTTATATTAAAAAGTTAACTGTGTTCTTGATTTTTATATTGATCCATTAAACCATTTAATTGTTAATTCATAAAATATATCTTATTAAATATTTCAATTTACAAAATTATACTTATTAAGTAACTATAAGATGATTGAAAAATGTGAAATTTTTTATTTAATAATTTATATTAAAAAATAAATAACATATTTTATTCATTAAATAAAATAATGGTAATTAAAAAATGTAAAATTTATGTTTAATAGATATGATTCTAAAAATTGAAATGTTAAAAAAAAAAAAAACCCAATTAATGTGGAAATTTTATTAGTGAAAAATTTAACATGAAATGTGAAAGGTCGACTCCTGATCATTATTCTCAATTGTAATACTAAGCCGATTAAATATAAATCAATCTACCAACAATTCAGTATAATTTGAATTATTTTTTGATTTCTAAGACATTTAGATAATTTAAAAATCACAGTTCTTTTTTATTATATTTTTTAAATTAATATTTGATTAGATCAAATTGGTTAAGTTGATAATGTAAATAAATGAATTTGATATTGGATATATACACACATTAAAAAACAATTTGGCATTTAAGCATTCCTCTAAGTTATATATGTGTTTGTTAAAATAAATGAAGTTAAATTTATGTTTCAAATGAAAATGTTAAAATTATAAATAATTTCATCTTTACTTCTTTTTATTACATCATGGAATAAATTGCACTAAAAAAAAATATTAGTACAGTCAAGCTTTGTTTAGAAAGGAGGACTTTTTTTAAGGAAAAAAAATATCTAAAGAAAATATCGGGGAATTTTTTTTTCTTTATTTAGAAATGATGAGTAAAATAATAAACGAAAGATTTTCCTTTCAGTTTATAATATTAAAATATCTCTAAATAAGAGAAAAAAATGAATTAATAAAATTATATTATTTAATGCAAAATAAAATTTCATTATTTTCATCCATCAATTATTTTCTTCCTTTCCTTTTCAAACAAAGCCTTAGTATTAAATTGTGTGGTTGGGGTAAAGAATGCAAAACTCTTGAAAATGAATGATGAGTAGCTATATTCCTATAGATATGGTGTTGTATTTCTGTGATAGGTTTGATTTTTATAATTACTTTTATTAAGTTTTTCTAGGATTTCTTTTAATTTAATTTAATTTTATTTTATTTTAGTTAAAATATTTATGTTTTTCACTTGAATCATATTTCATTTGATCTTGAAGAATTTTACAGTATTTTTATAAAAAAAATACCCAAAAATGCAAAAGAGTTTTAAAAGCAATCATTTGGCCATGACATTCAGTAAGAAGCACGTCCAGGCCGTACTACACAGCACCCCGTGCTACTTTGCAGAATTCAACGTATGCTGAGATTTCAAATTAAGCTCGTGTTGCCTGCATAAATCTGCATGAAGATATTGTGGGACATGTCTTATTAAAGCTGGAGCCCTATTTAGACACCAGAAGAGTCCTAATTGGGAAAAAAAAATACAAAGTTTAATCAGTTTTCTATCTCCAAAATATTTATTCCTCAATAGAGATTCACTTTCCTAAACAAATTCAAATATATTCCAGACAGTCTATATAACAAGAGGAGACTAGCTATTTTGAAGATTCATTGCATTTTCCATCTTTTAATCTTTTGATATATTGCTCTCTACTGTATTAAGTTTTTTTCTTTAAAACTTCAAACAATTAAGTTGAAGATCAACAATCCGAACTAGGAACCTACTCAAGTCGTTGATTAGTTTTTATTTCCAAACTCTTTACTTTGTTTATTTTTCATTATGATATTATTTACAAGTTTAATTAAGTTTAATTTATTTACTTTGTCAAACTAAATCTTTTTACCAGGGATATAGTGTAATTTAAATTCAACTCCAGTTTATAATATTAGATTTGATTTATTATTGATCTTAATGTATTCAAATAGACTTTCTCTTCTAGATTGATTTATTTTATTAATTATTGTTGAGAGAAGAGTTTTTAATATGAACATGGTAATAAATTTCATGGAAATAACAGCTTAATGCGAGAGCTAGATGGTTTGATTCGTGGAAAATTTTCATAAAATTAAAAGCCTTAATTTGTGGATTCCTGAATAATCACAAGAAGTTAATGAATTAATCTATGTTTGATTGTGCCATTGAGAGATTGGTAATTAAATTGAATTAAAATAACTAATAAAACATCGAATGAACTTATTAGAGATTTTTAGGTTATTTATCTTTCTTGAATAATTAAAATTCATTATCAAACTAATAGGATAAACTGGACAGAATTAAGTGAAGTCAAAATCTCTAGCAACTTTTTCTTTTTCACAATTACTTGTTTGATTTCTTTCTCATTTGCTCTATTTTATTTCTTTTATTTTCAAATATATTTTCCTTATTGTCGTCTAAATAATAGTAGATTAACACAATTTTAGTACTTGGTATACAATTTTCGTGGGATGATACTCTATTCACTCTTTATTACTTATTTGTGATTTCTTACGCTTTGAATTTGCCTGTCATTTTCAATATTTTATACTTTGAAATTATTTTGGTATTTTTAGTAGTTAATCAATCCCAAAAAGAAATCGACTTCTTTTTTTGACATGAAAAAGAAATTGACTTCTAATTGTTTGACTTCACTACCTAGATGAAAAATCTCAAAGGAAAAAAAAATTTTTAAAAATTAGAAATTCAATTCATTATATAACCCATTAATAACTTCACGAGAGGTTTAAACCAATAATATGTTATGTCTAATATTTTAATTTTAATATATGGATTAGGGATTATGTATAATTGATGCTCTCTAAGTAAGTTGTGTAAAAATTCTTTAATTAAATTTCATAATTCATTTTCAATATGTAATGCTTTAAAATATAACTTAACAAAAATATAAAACAATAAACTCTGGATTTTATTAAAAGAGGCACAATTAAAATTATATAAGAATTAAGAAAATTATTAAACCACTTCAATTGTAAAAAAAATATTCATAATTACGATTCACTATATTATGCATTTATCAATTTTTTACATAATTTATTTTTAAAGGAAATAACAAAAGGTAAAGTTAAAATCAGACAAAAATAATTGATACTTCCATTATTAAATTTAAAAAGTTAAAATTATTTCACTTTAAATGAGATGAGGGAATAATAATCTACATAACTTGGATTGACTACTAATTTAAATTAAAATTGAATTTTGAATATCACATAAAAAAAAAATCTGAATCTATTACTAGATCATGCATGCTATTGGATAATAGATACTGTGGTGTAAATAAAGAAATTACTTAACTTGCATGAATTAATAACATAGAACTCCAGCAACCGTTATCTTTATTCAAAGCAAAGAAAACTTGCACCGGCAGGTAAAGTAAGTTACACCAAAATAATAATAACAAAATTAAAATTGGTACTAATTATTTTAAAATTCATTATATAATCTTATCCTTCTTTAATTCAAATTAAATCATATTTTGTTTTTCTAAAAAAAAAAAGAGATTTTTGGTTAGTAATTTTATACTAGCAAGTAGCAACGAGTTAACAACAACTCTAACAATAAATACAGAAATACCTGTCAGTAACTCTCTTCTTCTGCTTCTTGTTTTTTTCCCCTGCCACAGCCGTTAAAGCTTAGATTGGAAACCCTCGCGCAAGTTTGCGCTGCTTTCAGTAATATCTCTGCTTCCTAATCAGTAACCCCCTTCATTTTTTTCCACCATTTCTTTATTTCCATTTCATTACCACATATAATCAACTTCACCATAACAATCTCAACTTTCTAGTCCTCTAGCTTGGTTTGTGCCTTTTGACTTTGTAATCTGTCTCCCTCTCCGTTTGTTTATTTACTTTGTCCTATTGTTTTTAGTTCCCTATTAATTTAATAATACATAAAAAAAAATCTGTTAATATCTGGGGTTGTCAACAAATTGAATACCAGCTTGTGCTTTGCTAGATTTCTGCTGTGTTTGATTCTCTTTATTTGATTTAATACTCCATGTTTGCATATTCCACAAGGGTATACCAGATTTGCCTTCTGCTTATCGATTTCACATCTGGGTCTCTCTCTCTTTCTCCATTGAAGCTGGTATAATCTCAAAGGTTCTATCTTTTCCCATTCTTTGCTCAGTTATCTTTCATGGGTTCTTTATTTCAGTTAGATTTGAGGTTTACAACTTAAAATTTCTTGTATTGTTTTCGAGAAGTCCAGATTTCTCTTCCTTTTCAATTCTTATCATCGTTTTTCAGATCTTTATTACACTTCTGGTTGATTAGCTGAAGGTCTTCAATTTATTTTTGTTGTATTTTCTGTGTTTGGGTTTTTGGTTCTGTTGTTTGATTAATAGTGTTTCCTTTACCGGTTTGCCTTAATAAGAACCTTAACAGTCCAGTAAAGTTCAGAAAGGATCCATATCTTTTTTCCTTAACAAATTTCCTGATTTTGTCATAATGGGTGATAGAGGATCAAAATTTCTCATCTGGGTTTTACTAATCTTGAGCTTGGCATGTTTAATTAGTGGATTTGCTCCAATAGATAATTACCTTATCGACTGTGGATCAAGCAGTGATACTGTGGTAGCAAACCGTGTTTTCTTGGCTGATAACTCAACCACAAACTCTGTTTCAACACCCAAAACCATTTTTGTCCAATCTTCAAGAGTGGATAGCACACTCTCTTTCTCTGATGATTCGCAGCTGTATCGAACAGCAAGAATCCTTGATGGAAACTCTAAGTACTCATTTTCAATTCGCCAAACTGGGAGGCATTGGATTCGCCTTTATTTTTATCCGTTTGCTCAGGATAGTTACGATATGAGCAGGGCAAGATTTGATGTTTCCACCCAAGAACATACCCTTTTGAGCAATTTCAGTGTGAACACTGATGTTGTCAAGGAATTCTCCATTAATGTAACATCCAAGAGCCTTGAAATTACTTTCACCCCTTCTGAAAATTCCTTTGCCTTCTTGAATGCTCTAGAAGTTGTTTCTGTTCCTGATGCACTCATCACAGAGGATGCCAGCACCTTTAATCCAGTGGGGAATTTTCAGGGCATGATGTGGCAGGCACTGGAGACTGCTTATAGAGTGAACATGGGTGGATCCTTAATTACCCCTAGGAATGATACTCTTGGGCGAACTTGGGTTTCAGACCAAGGATTTCTCATCAACCAGAATCTTGCCATAACTGTATCAAAGATCAGTGCTGTCAATTATGTATCTGGTGGGGCAACACCAGATATTGCTCCTAATGCTGTCTATGGTACTGCCACTGCGATGAACTCATCAAATGACCCCAACAGTAATTTTAACGTGACCTGGCAGTTCAATGTTGATCCAGGGTTTCAGTACCTTCTCCGTTTTCATTTCTGTGATATAATAAGTGATGCTCTCAATGAGCTCTACTTCAATGTTTATATTGACTCCTGGTCTGTTGTTAAGGATCTTGATCCTAGCATTCAATTATCAAACACTTTGGCGGGAGCACTTTATATGGATTTTGTAACAGCATTAACTGTTAGCAAGAAACTTCGTGTCAGTATTGGTCCAAGTTCCCTCCCTAACGTTTACCCCAATGCTATTCTGAATGGGCTGGAGATAATGAAAATGAACAATTCTTTGGGCAGCCTCAGTGGGTTAGTGCCTTCCAGTTCTGTTTCAAGTTCTAAGAAGAATGTTGGCGTAATAGTAGGCGTGACAGTTGGGGCAGCCATTGCTGTGGTTTTGGCTGGAATTATCTTTATATTGTGCAGAAAACGGGAAAAGTTGGCACGTCAAGGGCATTCAAAGACATGGATTCCTCTATCTATTAGTGGAGGACATTCTCACACTGTGGGGAGCAAGTATTCTAATGGAACAACTGTTAGTGTTAATTCTAATTTGGGATATCGCATTCCTTTTGTGGCAGTTCAAGATGCTACAAACAACTTTGATGAGAGTTGGGTTATTGGTATTGGTGGTTTTGGTAAGGTGTACAAGGGAGTTTTGAATGGTGGTACAAAAGTAGCTGTCAAAAGGGGAAATCCGCGCTCACAACAAGGTCTTGCAGAGTTCCAGACCGAAATTGAGATGCTATCCCAGTTCCGACACCGCCATCTGGTTTCATTAATTGGTTACTGTGATGAAAAAAATGAAATGATCTTAATTTATGAATACATGGAGAATGGGACTCTAAAGGGTCATCTCTATGGCTCAGGTAATCCCAGCTTGAGTTGGAAACAAAGGCTTGAGATATGTGTTGGAGCTGCTAGAGGACTTCATTACCTTCATACTGGCGATGCTAAAGCAGTCATTCATCGTGATGTGAAGTCTGCAAATATTTTGCTTGATGAGAATCTCATGGCCAAAGTTGCTGATTTTGGGCTTTCAAAGGCAGGACCTGAAATTGATCAAACCCATGTGAGTACAGCAGTGAAGGGGAGTTTTGGATACCTTGATCCTGAATATTTCAGAAGACAACAATTGACAGAGAAATCAGATGTGTATTCATTTGGAGTTGTTTTGTTTGAGGTTCTTTGTGCAAGACCAGTTATAGATCCTACCCTTCCGAGGGAAATGGTGAACTTAGCAGAATGGGCAATGAAATGGCAAAAGAAAGGTCAGTTAGATCAAATAATAGATCCTACACTTGTAGGAAAAATAAGACCAGATTCACTAAGGAAGTTTGGAGAAACTGCAGAGAAATGCTTAGCGGACCTTGGCGTTGACAGGCCTTCTATGGGAGATGTCTTATGGAATCTAGAGTATGCTCTTCAACTTCAAGAAGTAGTTGTTCCAGGTGGTCCTGAAGAAAACAGTACTAATATGATCGGTGAGCTCTCTCCACAAATCAACAATTTCAGTCAATTAGATGACAGTGTTTCTACTGCTCAATTCGAAGCATCAAGTGTGGATGATCTATCTGGGGTTTCAATGAGTAAAGTATTCTCGCAGCTGTTAAAGTCCGAGGGGAGATAACTTGTTGGAGGGGATTTGACGTTCAATTCTTTGTTTTGTTCGCTCACCATCTGAATATTGTCTCTAGTAAAATCAAGCGAGCGACTTTCGCGATCATGGCCATGACTTGTCTAGTTAGCGATCGGAGAAAACAAAGAGGAGGTCTAAACAACAAATTGATTCGGGAATTTGATTTTCACTCTTTTTGTACAGGAGGGATTATGTTTCAAGTGATTTTAAAGGAAGTTTAGAGTATATTGCTTTATGTAGCTTGTTTTGTGTCTATTTAATATTTACACCTATATGAAGCAGCAGCTGTTATACCGTTTTTTGTTTGCTGGTAGGTCAAATATTTTTGTCTGATTTGTTATTATCCTTTGAACCATTCTTGCTTGCTGTATCTTTTTATGTTCATGGTATTGATTGTCTGTATCTTTTTATGTTCATGGTATTGATTGTCTGAATTATGGATTAAAAAATTTGACAAATAGTCGGAAAATGTTTGGATGTTATTTGGATTGATCCATCGACAAATAATCACCCTCAGTTTTTTTCTTTTGCTAGCTGAATTATGGATTAAAGAACTTGTTTTACTAGCTTTTTACGAAATGATAAAGGGACGATATTTTATAATTCGTTTTCTCCGACTCAAAACACTAATAAACAAAATGTTTTATTATCTAACGTTATAATTAAATAATAAAAATAATATTTTAATCTTAATATTTTAATCTTAATTAAGACGAGAAACGCCATATGAAAAAATTAAAAAACAAAATAAAACATGCAATATCTGGTGGGGGAGGAGCAGCCACTACATCATGTTGTTGACATGATCAAATTTAGAACTTTTTAGTTAATCAAAGTAAAGTATCCTGGATATCTCTTAATTTCAGTGATTAGTGCTTGTTCCCTTTATTAGCTTGTAACAACAGATTGAATTTTAGTAGAACGAATGCTTGTAGAATCGGGCATATTGCTTGGGAAAATCCTCCAACAGTTTCAGTTAAATTCAATATTGATAGTTCAATAAGAGGTAAGGCGAGCCCTGCAGGAATAGGGGAGTGTTGCGAAACTCTCAAGGTATGGTACTTTGCATCTTTTTTAAGTTTATTGGCATTTTACATTCTAATGCAGTGAATTGTTAGTCATTTTTAATGTAGTTCAAATTTTTTGGGAATCGGATTATAAATTAAAAGGCTTGGTGATTGAGTTAGATTCAAGAAATACTTTGTGTTGGATTCTTCAAAAGCAGAAACGCCCACGGAAATGGTGGAAAAGTTTTAATTAATTTGATTCGACCATTGACCAATTGAGTCATATTGAGTTCTGGCATGTTAACAAAAATAGCAATCATTTTGCAGATTGCTTAGAAAAAAAGGTGTTGAGACTGATGTACCTTTTTTTGGTTTGGATATAACAACTAAGAGTTATATTATTTTGATATTTGCAGGTTTTTTTGTAACTTATCTTTTCTTAATAAAAAAGGATATCTACTTCTATTTTGTACTGTTGTATGAAGTTTTAGTGATCAGGCTTGTTCACTTATCAAACTCAAGTGTAATTTTGAGTGTACAAGATAATCTTATTGGCTTGGGTTTAATTTCTTAAATTTAATAATTTTTTTTTATTTTTTAATTTAATAAAATAAAATATGAATAGCCGATTAAAAAAAAAATATTTTGATACATGAGCTGGAGTTCCGGCTGGTGAGCAACGTACCCTACTGATTAGTTGTGCATTATATTATTATTACTCTGCACATGGTCACATCTTACCTGGATTAATTAAAGTACAGAAATGCATATAAATTAGGGAAGGAAAAAGGTCACTCCATTACGATCGATGACCCCAACATAATTTCTTAAATTAACAAATAAATATACAAAAGACAGAATGATTATTTATTATTATTAGTATATTTATGTAATTTCATGCCTTTTGATGATTTCTTTTGGATTACTTCTCCGATTAATAATTAATAACAGGAAATTGAAAATTCACTTCACTGGTGGTGGCGGTGGTGGTGCTAACTGTTTCTGCCCATCACTATCTGTGAAATTAAGTCAAAAAGGTTAATGGAGAGACGTGAAAGCCAACATCCATATTCTTCTTTTTCTTTTAATATATATATATATATATATATATATTCAAGCAGAGGCATTTTAGAACTTAGAATTCCACCTCATGCACGCCATTATGCTACCTAGAGTATGGTGGGACTTTTTTTTTAGAGAGTAGTGAATAAATACCAAATTTTCACATTTCATTAGTTTATAGACTAGAGAAATTACAATAATGCTCTGTTGATATAAATAAATACAAATTGTGAAATTCATTTATAAATAAATTTAAATTTTCATGCTTGGAATAAATTTAAAATTTAAAATTTTATTTATTTTTATTCCTAAAATACCATTGGTATAATAATTTTAGAAGACTAAGAGAATAGAGAGTTTTGTCATAACCTTCTAATTGTTTAAATTTGTGGAATTTATTTACAAATTTAACATTTTGTAATAGAATTTGATTCAATTACATTTAAATCTATAGAATTGAATTTTTTATTTTTTATATTTAAATTTAAATTTATAAATAAATTTCACAAAATTATATAGGATTCGATTATTCCAATTAAGTGCTAAGGGTAAGGAACACATATAGTTAATAGTACTCTTGTGTAATGCTATCGGAGTATTGATGATTGGCTCTACTTGGTGGGAATTCGGAATATAATAAATCTTTTTTTTTTCTGCAATAGAATATTCAGAAAACCATGTGGGGTTTTCAAGGTTTAATTAGTAACGTGGATCGAGTCTTAAGGTTTTTCCCATAACATGGATACCAATTAGTACTAATTAACACCAAAAATAATATTGGTAAATTCAAGAATCCCAAAGTGTACGTAGGGTTACCATCTTCCACTCAAAGAAGAATGAATGAATAAAAGGAGAAGCTACTAATTTGTCTCTTTATATTATTGGAATACACTCTATCCCCAGCACAAAATGGGTGACAACATTTTCAATTGGAATGGTTTTCTTTTTGTTCACACATGTGTTTCCATGTAATGTTCACATATTGCAATAAATACTTTTACTAAAATATTTTCATCAACCAACGATAGCATTATTAATAATGCCAAATAAACCCTTATAGAAGCTCCAGTGTAGGGTGTAAAACTCGTTACAATGAACCGTCAAAATTGTATAATCATGCGAATTCCTTCCCGAATGTCTAAGAAAAATATTTGCCTACATCGAGTTTATATAAATTAAAGAAAAAATTAACAAGAAGAAGAAGCTTATGATGAGTTATAGGTTCCCATGTTCTGCCACATCAACTTCGGTTGTGCAAGACAGTAATCTTTTAAACACAGACAGTAAAGCAGCACATGAAACCTCTCTTAAAGATTTTCCATTACCCAAGCTTCTTTTATTGCTATTACTATAATTACAACCCTTTGAATTTGATGATGGTCTTTTTCTTGATCTTCTATTCTTGATTCTTTCTCTAATTTTGCCAAAACACTTCTTGGTCTTCTCCTGCATACTTTCTTTTCTTGAAAACGTGTAACTTCTTAAATATATTTGCCTACATGATCGGCAGTCCACAACCCTAGGATGCCCATGCACGCCTGCCGGTGGCCGGCTGCCCTTATAGCTCACTGGCCTACCAAACTCCGCAGCGGATTGCGGCAATTGGTGGGGGTTCTCCTTGGCCGGCCGGCCGATTGGGTTGCAAGTATCAATGTTGCTATAAGCCATGCACTAGCTATAGAGTGGTGGGTTTGGCTTATGGATGCTATTTATATATATAGAGAAAGCAGTGAATGCTTAGTTTTCAAGAAAGAAGAGTGGGGTTTGGTTTTGGAGGCTACGATGGGATAAGTTTAATTTTGTAGAGTAGAATTATGCATTTTCAACTTTCAAGAAGTGGAGTAGTACGTATGTAAATGATTTGGCAGCAAGTGGAAAATATTATATATATATATATATATATGAAAATAAAAAAAAAAAAAATTGTTAGTGTTAGCTAGGACACCATGATAAGGACCTAATGCCATTAGATTGTTCTATGCAGTTAGGCAAGAATTAGATAAGATAGACTGCTTAACCTTGAGCAGAAACATTAATTAAAATTAAGCTTGCTTAATTGATGTTTTATTAGGTATAGTCGGCTCATATAAGCCTTCTTTTTTTTAAAAAAAAAAAAAACTAAAACACTAAATATTGTTGAAGGACAAAAGTAGAATATATTAAATATTAATTAAAATATGGATCTAACAAAGTAGAAAATTATTTTTTTTAAAAAAAAAAAAAACTAAAACACTAAATATTGTTGAAGGACAAAAGTAGAATATATTAAATATTAATTAAAATATGGATCTAATTTTTTTTTTAAAATTACTGTTAGAATGCTCCCAAGTTATTTATTATTTTATAAAAATTCTTTCTAATTGTTGATTCAAAATTAATTACTAATGTTAGCAAGAGCGTTAAACATATTTTTACTGAAGTAAACCAACAAGTATTGGATGAGACTCTATTGCCTTATAAGTGAAGTTGAAGATTCGAAATAAAGTAAATATTCGTTGGGAGTATTTTACTTTTTAATGGACCGATCATATACGAGTACAATTTAATCCTAACCCGATAAACTGGAATATCTGTAATTAATACTTAAAAGAAAAATAACAAACGTAACATCAACAGCAATATAGCATGGGAATCATCGTACATTAACTTAGTAACTTCAGTCATCTAAATCTATTTGCCAAACTGTTTGTTAATAATGTAATAAGTAAACAAAAACATTTATTAATTAAAAAATGAAATGTAAAGAAAATGTTGTCTTATCTGATAAATGTATTTATTATTGGGATAATCGATACAGAAGTGGAGTCAAAGATAAAATAAAATAAATAAAGGCTTCGAAGGATGTGCCTTTGGGGCAAAGTCATCTCCTGGCTTCATAAACCAGAGGGCAGGCTAAGGTATTATCTATCTATCCAACACAATAATGAACGCTACACTTATTTTTCACGCTTATAGATTCTAATCTAGTCTAGGGATGGATGATGCTATTTCCACGCCTAAATAGCTAATGCCACGCCCTAAACACTACTGCTAAGGATATTTGAATAGGATGGAATATTGGCCCCAGAATGGGATTAAAATTAGCTCAAAAAATTAGATTCGAATGTGGTCCAGAAGTTCCAATTCCAAAACTAAAATCATACTATTAGAAGTAAAATCAATATTTTATATATAAAATAAAAAAAATATTATTATTAGCGTGGAGGAATATATTATGTTATCAAAATTCATAATTTTAAAAACATAATAACTTCCTGTAAAGTTTAAATTTATAATTGTAGCAATATTTACATTTCACAAGTTTTATTATATTGCTTTTGAAAATCTTAAATTATTATTGGTTACCG